CCGGCTCCTCACGCCGCGGCCCTCCGCCCCGACGAGCGCGTCAGCTGCCCGGCGTGCAACCACAGCTGCCTCCGCCCGCCTCGGGCCCGGAGGACGTTTGCCGCCCCGGCGACGTCAGCGCGTCCGGCGTTGCTTGGCTACCCCGCCGTTTCCCCCTGTCCTGCTGCCTCTGGTCTCCCCGGGTGAAGCTGACGCAGTCACCGCGGGGTCTGGACTGCGACATGGCAGCGGGCATCCCACCTTCACGTCACACCTCTCCCTCACTTAGACACGCATCCCTTCCTCCCTGCCAACCACGACGTGCGCCCCCTCACTCTGGTCCTCATGCTCCCGATAGGGCAGGAGAAGATGGAGACCGGGTGAGACAGAGTTGTGGCCGGTGCTCGAGAGGGGCTCCCAAAGCGGTGATTAAAAAGATAGAAGGAGGACGTCTCTGAAGTTAGTACTATTACTGAGACATAGTAATGGAGAGAGAGGAAGGACCAAACCAGAGGAGCACAAGGCCATGGTCTGGCTGCCCTCTCCATCATCATCACCACCTCCAGCTCCAAATCCTCTCCGTTCTTCACTAATCCAGAACCCATTTCTCTTTCATACCGCTTATTTACCACTTAGATACGTCCTGGCCCCTTAAATGTGCATATAATTCAATTCATTTAGGCGAGGATGCTATCTAATATCTGCAAAACTGGGGAGGGGAGCCGGACGAACGGTGGTGGTGGTGGTGCACGCCTTTAATCACAGCACTCGAGAGGCAGGAGCAAACGGACGTCTGTGAGTTTGTGAGTTCAAGGCCAGCATGGTCTACAGGAGCTAGTTCCGGGACAAGCACCAATGCTACAGAGAAACCCTGTCTCCAAAAACCAAAAGAAAAAAAAAAAAAAGATTGGGGAACGGCACTTAGTCAAAATCGCATTCTAATGGTAGAGAAGAAATCCTCCTACTGATCTTAATCTGCATCTGAATTTCTTTCCTCAGAAAGCTTTCTGTATAACTAAGGCAGGCCTTGAGTTCCTGATACTTCTGCCCTCACTCCCTGGGATTATAAGCATGTGCCACCACCACACCTGGCAAATTTCCTTCTTTTAATTCCTAGCCAATCCACCGAATATCCACGGAATTAATTTTCAGTAGAAACTTTGAAAGATTAAACTCGCTGCTGAATGTTTAGAATGGACTTTTACCAAGTCTCTTCAGAAAAGTTACTGCCCTCTGCTCAATAGTATTCTCTGAGAGTTGAAATGTATTTTAAGAAATAGGTTTTTTTGTTTTGTTTTGTTTTGTTTTGTTTTGTTTCTAGCCGGGTGGTGGTGGCGCACACCTTTCAGGAAGCAGAGGCAGGCGGATCTCTGTGAGTTCGAGACCAGCCTGGTCTACAAGAGCTAGTTCCAGGACAGGCTCCAAAGCTACATAGAAACCCTGTCTTGAAAGACCAAAAAAAAAGTAGTTTTTGTTTTCTTTTGTTTTGTTTAGTGTAGGTGCAATGCTTATGTATGAAGTTCTTTAAAGTAATAGTAATAACAAGTTCCACGACTGCTAGCCAAAGCTCCATTAAAAAAAAATTTTACTCTACAGTAGCCCAGGCTAACCTCATCCTTGTATTGATCCTCCTGCCTCACAGTGAGCTACCAATCTCACTTCCCAGCCTTCCCTCCCTCCCTATAGAGATCTGTGTGTTCAGGCTTGCCTGGAACTCACTGTGTAGCCCAGGCTGGCCTTCAGCTGATGACGGTTCCCTTCCTTGACCTCAGGGTCCTGGGGTTCTGGAGTTAAGCCACCACATCAGGCTCTTTCATCTTTAGAAAAATGTGTCAACTTAAAGGAAGCTTCTGATTGTAGTGAGAAAATAGAGGTGAAAGAGATGCTAGGAACGGCTTTTGCTTGCTGAGTCAGAAAAAGCAAGTGAATTGATTAGAAGTCACAATACCGTAAATAGAGCAACAGGTCTACTGGTAGAGAAGGGAAAATACCAAGATGGGACTCAGCCTAGAGTTATGGCTCAATGGGAGCTGACGTCAGGATAGGAGTGCAAAAAAAAAAAAAAAAGGTAACCCTTTAACGAATACCTTTCTTTTTTCTCTCCCCATCGCCAAGTCAAATAATGGCCGAGACAAGTCTAATAGAGGCTGGAGCCTCTGCAGCCTCCACAGCTGCCGCCCTGGAGAATCTGCAAGTGGAGGCAAGTTGTTCTGTGTGCCTGGAGTATCTGAAGGAGCCAGTTATCATCGAATGTGGGCACAACTTCTGCAAAGCGTGCATTACCCGCTGGTGGGAGGACCTAGAGCGGGACTTTCCTTGCCCGGTCTGTCGGAAGACATCGCGATACCGAAGCCTCCGGCCCAATCGACAACTGGGCAGCATGGTGGAAATCGCCAAGCAGCTCCAGGCAGTCAAGCGGAAGATCAGGGATGAGAGCCTCTGCTCCCAGCACCATGAGGCCCTGAGCCTCTTCTGCTATGAAGACCAGGAGGCTGTCTGTTTGATATGTGCCATTTCCCATACCCACCGGGCCCATACCGTTGTGCCACTGGATGATGCTACACAGGAGTATAAGGTGGGCAACCAGACACATGACGCCAGTGTGGGGAAAGAGAATACATTCTCTCCGAGTAGAGGGGTTTAAGCTCCTGAGGCAAGGCTATCTCTGTTCCTCTATGTTCTCCTCAGAACTATATACATGGGTATTCAGTGCATCTGCTCAACTGTCCTCCACAAGAACAGTGAGGAGTACCCAAAAATTTCTGTGACTTATTGCAAAACAATTGAGTCTTCAGAGTATTGGTATGTATGGTTTTTGGAATATATCAGAATTTTTCTTTGGTTGTTTTTTTTTTTTTGTTTTTTTTTTTTTTCTTTAGTTTTTGGTTTTTTCAAGACAGGGTTTCTCTCTGTAGTTTTTGGAGCCTGTCCTGGAACTCAATCTGTAAACCAGGCTAACCCCGAACTCACAGATATCCACCTGCCTCTGCCTCCCAAGTGCTGGGGTTAAAGGCATGCGCCACCACAGCCAAGCCATATATCAGATTTTAAATAAATGAGTGAAACCACGTAAGAATCTGAAAAATAGTTTGGAAGAACTGAAAAGTATTTTGATTTCTTCATTTCTGCCTATTCACTCAGGATGGTTTTCCCCATTTGTTGGAAATAGCTAACATTACGTTAGACTGATAAATCCAGCAGACTAAGCTGAACCAGCCTGCGCCTTGTCCATGTAACGAGTAACATGACATTTAAGATTTAAATCGCTAACACGGGCACAGTATAACTGTTTCAGTCATAAAAATCAAAGATGATACTGTCTAGAATTTTCATTTATTCTGCTTAATTAACAAAATCTTGAAAAAATATTTAAGGTAATTTACAGCCAGGTTTTATTTTGTCTATAAGTGGTTAGATCTGAATGGAAGCCCAGGTGACAAAAGGATATCAAGACAGGCCTGGTGATACACACTTATAATCCCAACACTCCTAAGGTAGAGGCATTAGGCAAATGGGAGGTGAGGTCAGCCGTGGCCACATGTTTGTAGCCAGGCCAGGCTGCTGGAGACCTTACCGTGAAACAACAACAGTCCACAAATCAGTAAAGGTTACCAAGGTATAAAAGGTAGCTTCTGGCTGGAGGAGGGTGTAACCTGGGAGGAGACTGTTCTTGGTGTACACACCCTGCATGAATTCTCAGCACCATCAAAACAAACCAAAAAGAAAAGAATAAATCAAGTAACTTTGAGTGTAGTAGGCAGTTGTTTGTAAGAAAACAGAATGGGAAAGGAAACAGGTGATAACAGCTAGGGTACTAGATTTGGGGAGAACAGTCAGGTGTGCCTCAGACATGATGGGATGAGCTGATGGCAGGGAAGGGGGTGTGGTCGAGAAGTGACGAGAGCAGAAATCAGATGGTTTAGGGTGGGGAAGGTGGGGAAGATGATTTAGCAGTTAAAAACATGTACCAGTCTGACAGATCACCTGAATTTGGTTCCCAAATGGCCGTTCACCATTGCCCACAAATGGGTTAAGCTCTTAAGGAGTGGATGTATCAACTAACTCTAAATGTCTCCTCTCCTGCTCTCTCCCAACCTTCAGGAGAAACTGCAGAAGTGCCTGGAGCCCCTGGAACAGAAGCTGCAGGAGATCACTTCCTGCAAAACCTCCGAAGAAAAGAAACCAGGGGAGCTCAAGGTAGAGCAGGCAATCTGCGCCTTCACTGCTTGGCTGGGTGTTTGCCTGTGAGCGAGTCAACAACACTTTACTTAATCTATCAGTTAATTGGAAAACTGCTATTCTCTCAGAATGATATTTCATTAGGTATTTGTTGTTAAACCGTATACTTAAATTACTTGTCATGAGTTAAGTACTGAGAGGGTTTAGGAAACGAATGAACTGTTGAGATGACTCCGTAAATAAAAGTGGCTGCTGTGCAAGCATCAAGACTTGAAGCCCACATGAAGGTAGAAAGATAAAAATGAATCCACAGAGTTGACATCTGAGTTCCACATGTGCATCGTGGCCTACGTGTTCACATACTCATTGTGTGTACACACACTGTATATACAATAATAAATACTTTTTAAATAAGCAGACAGAACATCTTACCTCTGCTAAGTCCAGGGAGTCCTTGCCCCAGTATTCTCCTCCCACAAGCAAGGAAAGAGGCTCTCCTAAGAATACAGGGATGGGAGGTTCAGCAGGAGTGAGGGATGAGCTGAGCAAGAGCTCCCAGAACTGCTCAGTGACCTTTTGTTTGTTTTTAATTACTTTTAATTACTCTTTTTTCTTTAAAATTTTGTGTGTATGGGTATTTTGCCTATGTGTTTGTCTGTGGACCAAATCCCTGCCTGTTTCCCAAAGAGAGCAGAAGAGGGCCTCAGATCCCCCAGAACTAGAGTTACCAATGGTTCCAAGTGCCATGTGGGTGCTGGGAATTGAGCTCAGGTCCTCTAGAAGAACAAACGGCCAGTGTTCTTAAACTCTGCAGCCCAACAGAACCACATTCTGTTTTGTTTGTTTGAGAGAGTCTCACTATGTAGCCATGGCTGGCCTGGAACTCACTAGTAGACTACGTTGGCTTAGAACTCAGAAAGGTCCACCTGCTTCTGCCTCCCAGGTGCTTGAAATAAAAGTGTGCACCATAACATTTGGCTTAGAACTACATTCTTGTAATTAAGTAATCTAAGGTAATGTTGATTCATTCCCAGAATGCCTTTCCCTTCCTCAGCCTTCAGCTTTGGCATTCTTGGTAAAATACCATGACCGAAAGTAACTAAAGGATGAAGTTTTACTTTAGCTTCAGTTGCAGAGGGAAAGAGTCTATAATTGCAGGGAAGGCAGTGGAGCAGCGAGAACAGGAAGCTGGCAAATCAGATTTCCATCCACACACAGGAAGTAGGGTAAGACTGTAAACTCTCAAAGCCTGCCCCCAGTGACATACTTCCAGCGAAGCTCCACCTCCTAAAGGTTCCATAACTGTTGTAAAGACCCCAAGAGCTACCACCTGGGGGCCAAGTATTTAAATACATGAACCTATGGAGGGTATTTCTCCTTTAAACCATGATAATATTTGAACCAAAGTATAGCTGTTGTCTTTGATTATAATTTTTCCTTTTAGTGGTCTTTAAAGCTGCAATTCCAAACATTCCGTTTATGACTGTTTGATTTGTCCCCTGCCCATTTCCCGCTTTGCTTCCTTCTCTCCTCAGCCTCCAGAATTAGACCCAATAACCCCTATAAAACAGTTTGTAGGGGCCCAGAGAGATGGCTCATCAGTTAGGAGCACTGGCTGCTCTTCCAGAGGACCCAGGTTCAATTCCCAACACCCGTATGGCAGATCACAACTATCTGTAAATCCAGTTCCAGAGGATCCTACATCCTCACATAGACATACATGAAGGCAAAACACCAATGCCCATAAAATAAAAGTAAATTAAAAATTTTCAAATTATAAAAACAATTTATAATAGCAACACATACATATAATCCCAATACTCAGGAAGCCAAGACTGCAGTTAAGACCCTGTTTAAAAAAAAAAAAAATTAAAATTTTAAAAAGTGCAGAAGAACTGAGGGTATGGCATCAGTTCACCAACACTGCAGACAAAAAAATATTAAGTTTATGAACTGGCCATGGATGGTGCACACCTGTAGTCACAGAGGAGGCTGGAGCTGTAATATTACTCCTATCACAAGTTCATAGCCAGCACAGGCAAGCCTGGGCTGTGTAATAAGATGTTATCTCCTGGGTGGGGATGGAATTTATAATTAGCTATACTGAAATCAAAAATTTTAACAAAAAAGTTCAGATAAGACAACCTCCTTATATAATTTTAAAGAGACTGTCGTATCCGGTAACAATGTAGAGTGACATTTAGTTAGTGATGGAGCAGAGCTTCACTGAGTAGTTGTGGCTGGCCTGGAACTATGTAGACAGACTTGGCCTTGAACTCATAGAGCTCTGTCTACCTCTGCCTTCTGAATGCTGGAATTAAAGGTATGCACACCACTCCCAACTAGAAGTAATTTCTAATTAAAAGTCTGATATGTGAAAAGACACGATAGTGTAGTTATGTGCTTGCAACTGTATGTGACGTTATCAAGTGAAATAAATATGGGTTCATTCTGAGGCGGATGTGAGTTACACACCACAAAGCAGGTTGATAGCCTATGTGGTAAAGTCTAAGGAAACAAAATAGAGTGTTTTTTTTAAAGATTTATTTGTGTACATGTGTGTGTGTGTGTTATGTGTATGTGCATGCACACCCATGTACCCATTCTGTCAGAGACTAGAAGAGTACAAATCAGATCCCCTAGAGTTACAGGCAGTTTCAAGCTACCCAGTGTGAGTGCTGGGAACCAAGCTCAGGTTCTCTGGAAGAGAAGCAAGCCTTCTTAACCACTGAGTCATCTCTCTGACCCCTAAAAGATAGTCCTCATGAGCCTACTTCAGAACACCTGCTTCTAACACGCACACACATTGAGAATCTGTATTCAGGACAAAGGTGAGAACACATCCTGTTCCGTTGCCTCCCCGTAATGAAAGCCAGGCTGTTGTCTGCCGGAGTAGCTGTGGATCAGGACTGCTGAGCTTGTGAGGCCCACAGGCTTTTGTCTGTATCCCAGCCGTCTTCAGCCTGAGCTGCTCCTCGGTCCCTGTCCATCTCCTCTCCTCTGAGTTAATGCCTCCCTGTCAGTCACAAGGACTTGGGACTCCTTCACTGATAACCTCAGAGAGTGGTATGGCTGCTGTTTGAGTTCTAAACTCAAACTCAGGGTGCTTTGTTAGAAGTAAAAGTATGTGCTGCTGTCAAGAGCATGTTTCAAATTTTAAACAACTGATTTACTAAAAAGTATCTGGAACATGATCCTGGGGTGGAAAAAATCTATTTTCTATCAACACAAAGAACAATTCCCATCTCTCTCAAAGGGAAAAAGAATTTATTCTGGAGCCAAATATGAGCGATCTTGGCATTGAAACACAGATTTAGGTACCCCAAATTTCATGTTCCAACTTAGAATCAGTTTCATGAAGTTTTTATAGAACAGAACTAAGAAGGCCGTAAAGCAGGACAGTTTTCCAGACTGTGGTAGAAACGTGAAATAGGTAGTTACAGCCAAGTAGAGCAGTGTCAACTGTAGGCCCTGGATGCTGTCTGACATTATTAAATTAATACATGTTTTATCTGTTAATCACAGGCTATTAGGTCCAGTACAGAGGTGGGCACGGAAAAGGCTATGTAGGAGGCTAAAGGTAGCCCGAGATAAATGTAAGTAGGCTCTGGGCCTGCAGCAGTCCAGCTCCTCTCCAGACACAGCTCACTCCAGGAATCTCAGCCCATCAGAAGTGACTTCAACTGTTAGGCAGGAAGATCCCAAGTTCAAGGCCAGCTTGTGCTATATTATAAGACCCTATTTGAGGGGAAAAAAATAGAAACAGCAACCAAAATAAGTTCAGCCCTAGAAATTTAAGTATAAACTTTGCATCAACTCATTAAACTGTTACTGATTCTGATAGTTTCCTCTGTTCTCTTTATCGGGTTAATGTGCCACAGTTATTAATGATGAAATCTTTGGCTTTCTAGTATTTGTACTTTAACAAACTGTGTAAGTAAAACATCAGAGAAGAAAATAGCAAAAGTATCCCTGATATTTGTAACAGTAGATATCATCACATCATTGAGTTCTTGAACCTTGAATGTATTTTATTAAAATATAAAAGGTTAATTTAGGTTTTGAAAAGTCAAGTGTTGATTGTTTTAAATCTTCCCACTGATTTGCACTAGCAAGTCCTGTTGGGAGTGTGCAGGTTTCAGTACAGTTTCCTTACAGAAAGAAAATCAGGAATACTGCTAGAGGCTTCCCAGTGACAAAGAAGTTTATACTGAGCCTGGTGGGTCTGCGAGAGACTCCCTCGTGCCTCCTGGTCCTGACCACATCCTCCCTTGTTCTCAGAGACTAGTGGAGAGCCGCCGACAACAAATCCTGAAGGAATTTGAAGAGCTGCACAGGAGGCTGGATGAAGAGCAGCAGGCACTCTTTTCCCAGCTGGAAGAAGAGGAGCAGGACATTCTACAGAGACTTCGAGAAAATGCTGCTCACCTTGGGGGCAAGCGTCGGGACGTGGCCCACTTAGCTGCTGAGGTGGAGGGCAAGTGCTTACAGTCGGGCTTCGAGATGCTTAAGGTTCGACCTTTGCTCCGATGTAGTTCCTTAGGTCAAATGCAGACTAGCTTTGTACATGACACACAGTCAGCCTGGGGTGCGTCCTTTCTTACTCTACATATTCCAGATATGTACATGGGCCTTTTTCTAGAGTAGGGCAGCTCAGGTTTCCACCATCTCTATGTCCTTTTAGAACTTATATGTCTGGAGCTAGTGAGTTGGCTCAGTGGTTAAGAGCACTTGCTTCTCTTGGATGAGACCCAGGTTTAGTTCTCAGCGTGGAAGCTTATAATACACTGTAACTGGAGCTTTGGGGGCTCCAAGGCATTGCTTACACATGATGCACATACGTACATACAAGCAAGACACTCATACACATAAAATAAATCTTTTTTTTTTTTTAAAGTAACTGGAGGGACAGCCATGGGTGCTGAGAACCGAACTCTTATATTTTTGGTTGTGAGCCTAGCCTTTAATGGCTGAGCCATCCCTCCAGACCAAAATAAATCTTTTTTTTAAAATGTATGTAATTTGTGCCCCCCCAAAGAGAATCCTTTTCAGAAGATAGAAGTCTATTCTACTTAGTGATGAACTGTGCGTTCAAGTTTTTGTAAATACCGTTGCCCTTACTTTCCAGTCCTAGAACTTAATTTACGTAGTGCTAAAGCAGGGGTGTAGAAGTATAATTTTAAAGGATACTCAAAATGAATTTACACAGTAAAGTAGTGCATTGTCACCTCTAAAATGTTTGATGTGATCTACCCTAAGCAGGTACTTGGTACTGACAAGGCTGTAGGAAGCATATCTTATCTCAAACAAGATGACTGACATTTGAGTCAGGAAAGCTTCACTGTACATTTATGTGACGTATGTTGCTTGGTGTTTATCCCTGTGCCTTCCACGTGTGTGTACTCTAACTGCATTAAACCTGAAATTCTGCAGGGTGAGATTTGTTGTGTTTGTCATCTGGTTCCCCAATAGTCTCAAATCAGGATTGATATGAATTAGTGTTTATTAACCAGTGCTAGACAGGGATGTCTAGACCCCAGTGGGAAACCTCCTGTGCCACCAGTCTGGAGTTGTCAGTACTGATTCTCAGTGATGCTGAGGTGTGTGCTTGGAATTTGGGGGACAAAAGAGCAGATACAACCTCTGTTTTTGCATGGAGCCTCTATTGTCTTTGACGAGGAAGACAAATGTACAGGAAACCATTAGGAAGTAGTATTAATATCAAGCTTTGTTATGACCAGTGGTTGAAATTGGGCATTCCGTGAGAGACACACACTTAAGCCCATCTGAAGTTTGTCCCTTGGGGCCCTCAGTTTGCCTGCTGCTTAGTTGGAAGATCTGGAACTTTTGAGGAGGAGTGAGAACCTTTTTGCCTTCATGACCCATGAATTCTAGGACCAATCTTACTTTCTTTTTTCTTTTCCTCTAGGATGTGAAAAGTACCCTGGAAAAGTAAGTGATTCTGTCTCTCTGAGTTAGGTCTTGACTTTTAGTAATGCCTTGGCGGAAGTAGGAAAGGGATAGTCCTGTAGTGTCTGAGTGAGAATGGAGCAGGATGGACCATTGAGGGTGATAACGCTTCACCTCCCTCTTGATATCGGGTCGTATTTGGTCGTACAGTGAGAGTGGGGAGCTGAGCTGTGTTCCAACAAGACGGTGGAAGGGGCTGGAAGCACAGGAGTAGGAAGTGGGGGGGGGGGGTTGGTTGTCCATTTGCATGGAATGTAAGAATATTCCAGGAAGTCCTCAGGCTCACCAAGATACAGACCTGCCCAGGGAGCCACACAGCTCTTAGGGAGGAAGGAAAGTGAGAGGGGTCTGGTCTTTTTTACCTTTCTCTGAGATGACACCGCTCACATATTCAGTTGGCTGGAGCTCCCCCTGATGGTATTCTGGCTTTCTTTATCACCCATCCCTCCTAGATGTGAGAAGGTGAAGACCATGGAGGTGACTTCAGTATCTATAGAGCTGGAAAAGAACTTCAGCAATTTCCCCCGGCAGTACTTTGCCCTAAGGAAAATCCTTAAGCAGCTAATTGGTGAGTTGTTCCCAGAAGTAAACTGGCATAGGGCATGCAAAGGAGTGGAAGGTTAAGATCCTTCCAGTGGGCTGCATTTCTCTCATGCCCATCCCACCTGCCCCTCTCACCTTAAACCATGGAGTTCAGAGAAAAAAAAACTTAAGTTCTGCTCTGTATAGGACCTAGAGACATTAAAGGATTCCTAACTCAGGTGGAGTGAGCCAGGAAAGCGCAGGGGAAATCGTTAATATTCATGTAGTGAAAAGCAGTTGCAAAGCTGGGCTTTACAGGATTCAAGTCCATGCTCACCCTGTCCGCAGCTACCACAGCTCACTCCCTCAGACAGCGCCTTTCATTTCTTCCATACTCACCCACTGTGTTCTGGGGACCTCTCAGGGGCCAGGCTTTGTGTAGGTAGGCTAGGAAAGCAAGGCAGGGACGTTTAGCTGTTCCCGTCCTCATCTAGCTACCCACTCTGGCTTCTCCCGCCAGCGGATGTGACCCTGGACCCTGAGACCGCGCATCCTAACCTCGTCCTGTCAGAGGATCGGAAGAGCGTCAAGTTTGTGGAGACCAGACTCCGAGACCTCCCTGACACGCCCCAGCGTTTCACTTTCTACCCTTGTGTCTTGGCTACTGAAGGCTTCACCTCTGGTCGACACTACTGGGAGGTGGAGGTGGGCGACAAGACCCACTGGGCAGTGGGAGTGTGCCGGGACTCTGTGAGCAGAAAGGGCGAACTGACTCCACTCCCCGAGACCGGCTACTGGCGCATCCGGCTGTGGAACGGGGACAAGTACGCGGCCACCACCACACCTTTCACCCCTTTGCACATCAAGGTGAAACCTAAGCGGGTGGGCATCTTCCTAGACTATGAGGCTGGCACACTGTCTTTCTACAACGTCACAGACCGCTCACATATCTTCACCTTCACTGATACTTTTACTGAAAAACTCTGGCCTCTCTTCTACCCCGGGATCCGGGCTGGCCGGAAGAATGCTGCACCTCTTACCATCAGGCCCCCGACAGACTGGGAGTGACAAGAGGCGGAGCGCAGTTGGGGTGAGGCAGGGTCAAGAGTGATGGGTCTTCCTTCCTGTGACCTGCTGGAATGTCTTGGCGCGTGCGTGGTTCCAGTCCTTAGCCATCTTGAGAAACCACCTGGTCTCTGGGATGGTAAAGATGGGACGGGGCTGCGTGGCAGAGCACAGAGGAGCGCCCTACTTACTGTAGCGGGAGAACGGGCTCCCAGGGGAGCGTGATCTCTGGTGTCCAGCGGATTTCTTGTTGCACAAGGACAGGTTGGGAGAGAAAAGGCTTTCTAGAAACAGAAAGTCTATATGAAAGGGTCTTAACTTGTTTAAAATGCAGGAAACAGAAACCTTTAAAAGGCTTCTGTGATTTGGAGTAGTCTTGTTCCTGTGGGAGCGCACAGGGGTCTGGGTACCTCTGTGTTGGAAAGATGACTGACAGCTGCTGTCATGAGTCTAGAAGTTGAGTGACTTTGGAGGGCAGAGATTGGGCATTAAAGTTAGGAGGATCAGGGAAGAGGCTAAAGGGATATTTCTAGAAGTGAGTGAAGGAGATGGGGATTTCTTTTGTTTTCTCTTCTTAGGTTAATGTTACCATTACCCATAGGTTTAGCCAGAGGTTGGAATTTGGGGAGAAGGATAAGGTGGGCAGAAAGGAGAACCAGGTCTCAACCCTGGTTATTCCTGTCCCTGCAGTTGGTTGTCTCCAAGAAGGAGGCTCACCTTTCTCCCTTCTGGAGGTGAGATGGAAACGGCCCTGCAGGACACACATTTACTCTCACACTGTTTTCCCAAGGGAACGTGGAGAGGAGTCAAATAGTAGAGGAAAGGGAACGGTCTATCCAAAGCCCTGGCCTTAAAGAATGTTACAGTAATTATTCCCAAGTCGTCTGCCTTGTCCGCTGGCTCAGGTGTCCAAGCCAGAAGGAAGAACGGTCATGGAGTCTTTCTCACCCCGCAAGAACAGGGTAGAAGAGGGTGGTTTGTGTAGCAAAGGGCCAGATAGACAGCTTCGCTTCTGTTGCTGTCCTTCACCCTTTGACATTCCCTTTTTCAGAGAATGTAAACCGTTTTAAGTTAGGCCAAAATAAAAGCCCATAGGGTGCATATGTTGTCACAGAAGGTCATGTGATGCATGCCAAACCAAACAACCCGGATTTTCTGCTGCTTGGGTATCTTCGTTGAAGACAGACAAGAAGCTGCACTGGGGGCCTTCGGTTCTCCTCCCACCTCAACAGGACTTTGTCCACTCTCTTCTTACCTTTGTGCCTTGACTGTGGTTCTTTGTGGCAAGATAATTTGGTTGGTCAAAATATGGAACAAAGGATCCACTGATGTGACCTCTGAGTTTGTGTGGTAATTTGGCAGTGGTCTTGTGAAAAATCACTGGGTATGAAAAATACATGTTCTTGGGTCTCACCCTCCATCCTTAATGAAGTTTTGGGTGGGCCTAGGAGTCTACATTTTAACACACTCCTCTCATTTGACTCCGAAGGCCCTTAGTAAGTTTCAGCTAATGGCCTTACTCTGAGCTGGAAGCCTGGCTCTCCACCCATCCTGGCAGGAGTCTTGAGACAGGAAGAGATCTGTGACTCCCCGGACATGTCCTGAGGAGACAGGCCATAGAAACTGTCCACATGGCCTGCACTGTAACAGCGGGCGTCTTTAATGAGTGGAAAAGTGGGAGAGAGCCATGCCTGCTGAGGGCTAGGTGCTATTTCCTCCCTCATAATACGATATAATCTTTTCCACCTTGAGCCCCACAGGCATCAATACTTTTTGTTTCATTTTTTAAGGTTTATTTATTACGTATGCAGTGGGTTGCCTGCAGGCCAGAAGAGGGCACCAGATCCCATTACAGATGGTTGTGAGCCACCATGTGGTTGCTGGGAATTGAACTCAGGACCTCTGGAAGAGCAGGCAGTGCTCTTCACCCCTGAGCCATCTCTCCAACCACATTTTATTTTATTTTTGATTTTTCGAGACAGGGTTTCTCTGTGTATCTCTGGCCATCCTGGAACTCACTCTGTAGACCAGGCTGGCCTCAAACTCAGAGATCCGCCTGCCTCTGCCTCTGCCTCCCAAATGCTGAGATTAAAGTGCACGCCTTTGGTAAAAGGGCGCCAAATCTCATTACAGATGGTTGTGAGCCACCATGTGGTTGCTGATAATTGAACTCAGGACCTCTGGAAGAGCAGCCAGTGCTCTTAATTGCTGAGCCACCTCTCCAGCCCCTACTTTTTGGTTTTGAGTCAGGGTCTGGCCATGTGGCCGGTTCAGACTTATATGTAGTTTATAGCAATCCTACCTCAACCTCCCAAGTGCTGGGATAACAAAGATATAATGCGAAGCTAGACATTGGCCGTTTTGTTGTTACATCAGAGATGTTCCAGATGCCTGTGTTTGGCTTCAGGAGAGTAAGCATGTCTAGCCTGGTATTTACTGCACACACAATCCTCTCCATACATAAAGAGACTATATGTTTGTTCTAAAAATGTTTCGCTATTTTAAGATCCTTAGCCGCGCTGGGCCTTACGTAATAAATATATGAGGAATACCAAACTAGGGCCGCCTCCCAGGGAAGAACACACAGGGCGGGTGGGGCTGTCTGCTACCTGACAAGGGCAGCTGTGGGGCCGCGGCCCCAAAACTACAGTTCCCAGCAGACCTTGCGCGTGCCCGGGGCGGGACATCCGGAAGAGGGGCAGACGCTCATGGCGGGCCCAGTGAAGGACCGGGAGGCCTTCCAGCGACTCAGCTTTCTGTACCAGGTAAGACGGCAGGTTCCCGGTGGGCAGCAGTCCAGTGCTGCGGCCGCAGCGTGACCCGGGTGGCCGTCCCTGTCCCCAGGCTGCACACTGCGTCCTCTCGCAGAACCCAGAGAACCAGGCACTGGCGAGGTTTTACTGCCATACGGAGAAGACGATCGCGAAGCGGCTGGTCCTGCGGCAGTAAGGCACGGACTGGCGGGAGGAACCAGGGTCGCGGTCGAGCGGTTGCCCACTGCTTCTCCTCCTCATCCAGGGACCCCTCGGTGAAGAGGACGCTCTGTCGAGGCTGCTCCTCTCTCCTCATCCCGGGCCTCACCTGCACCCAGCGCCAGAGACGTGAGTGCTGCCTCGGGCACCGTGGTGGGCAGCAACCCCTTCCCCCTGGAGGGGGGAGGCTTTCGCTAGCTGATTTGTGACTACGTGATACTCTGTAGTTTAATAAAATAAAATTAACACTATTTACTTAAATTATTTAATTTCTAAGATTCATTAAGTAATACCGACTGAGTGGGTTGTGGTGGTTCACACCTTTAATCCCGGCACTTGGAAGGTAGAAACAGGTGGTCTCCATGAGTTCAAGGCCATCCTGATCTAGACAAGTCAGACCAGGGATGCTTAGTGAGACCCTGTCTCAAACAGAAACACAATCTCTCTTTGATTTTGGTTTTGCTGGTTTTGGACACAAGGGTCACTGCAGCCGAAACTGGCGTCCACCACCCTAAAATCTCCTGCCTCAGCATCCCTAGTGTTAGGGATTACAAGCGTGAGACAACACACACACACACACACACACACACACACACAGCTACTAGAGTAGTATTTTTAAATGCTTGCATTGAACGAGAGTGAATTGCTGAATTACTTCTACCAGTGGCAGGGACGTAGGTATGTCATGGTAGACAGAATCAGACAGAAATTTAGACATTGGTTAGGATTCTCACACACACACACACACACACACACACACACACACACACACACACACAAGCTTGCTCGCTTGCCATCAAGGGGCTGGGAAGATGGTTCCATGACTAAGATGCTTGATATGCAAGTATGAGGAAGCACCCATTTGATAACTCCCTTGGGGCCAGGTGAGGACACACACAGAGTCTGGCGTCTTTCTGGCCAGACAGTCTAACTGAAAACATCTGGCTCCAGGTTCAGTGAGAGACCCTGTCTCACAAAGATATAGTGAAACGAGGTAAAAGAAGACCCCCCCAAACTAGATTTCTGTCCTCCACACATAACACCCACACGAGTACTCCTGTGTCCACACATACACATGTACAGAATATAAGTATAAATAAGGAATTTTTAAAAGAGAATCTGTGATATAAGAAAATGAATGCCCAGAAGGCTGGGATTTGAGGTGAGCAGGGTGGAGAAAAATGTAAGACTGGAGAGGGAAGCTAGACCTTATTAAGGGCGGTGGTGGCGCACGCCTTTAATCCCAGCAGAGGCAGGAGGATCTCTGAGTTCGAGGACAACTAGTGAGGTCTACAGAGCAACTTCCCAGACAGCCAAGGCTATACAGAGAAACCCTGACTCAAAGAAAAAATAAGCTTGAACTTCATCTTAGAGTTCCAAGGAATTGATTCTCATGCAGGGCCTCCCATACACATACCAAATTTACATTCCAAATGCAGATGAGATAGAATTCCTACTGACAGTGGAAGAAAACTGCAAGACCTTTTTCTCAGAAGCGTGGGCACTCTCTTTATTTCCTCCACTTAAACCCCAGGTCTGAAGGGACAGCGCTGGACGGTACAGACCTGCCTGACGTGCCAGCGTAGCCAGCGGTTCCTCAATGACCCCAAGCATCTGCTCTGGGGTGACCGACCTGAAGCCCAGCTGGAAAATCAGGCAGGTGAGCAATAGCAGGGAAAGATGAGGGAGTCCCCAAGAGAAAGGACAGTGGAGGGTTGAAAAGCAAGGTGGGTGAGCCTGATCGGTGTCAGGGGTGCCACAGTCTTGGGAAACTAATTCTCTGATTCTCCTCCATCAACTAGATTTCAGACCGTCAGAGCCCCTGCCAAGCACAGCCCACCTCCCTAAGGAGAACATGCAGCCTCAGGCTTCAAACACCAATGACTAATTCACTCCATTTCCCAGATAAATAAAAATTTAGGTTTGTTTGACTTTCTGTCTGTTCTGTGATATTTCAACTGGTTTTATTATTTTCCTCATTTTGCCGGGGGTGGGGGTGGGGGGTGGTGGTGGTGGTGCAAGGCGGGGCGGGTTGTCACGGTAACCTTGCATCTCTATTCCACCATCCTTCCCGGTTTCCATTCACCGCTAGGTCCCCTAAGCAGCCCTTGTCACCCCTGCATCCTCAACACAATGATATATATCTGGAAATTCCTTACATGCTCGTGTGCTTTCTTAGTTGATTCCATGTTGAGGCGGCCCCGACTGTTGAAATGGGGAGACAGACACTGTTCATATCCTCTGGGCATACGCAAACTTGGCCCTTCCCATGTCTCAGAATTGTCCTCTGTAAAATCATAATGGATATGGCTCAAGTCTGGACTAACAGGGAAAGGTGCTAAGCATGGACGGCTTGCTCACATAGGCTCCACAGTAAACTCAGCTGTCTTGCCTGATATCTGTGGAGAGGCTACTCAAGGACACAATCTGTGAACTGACTTCTTTGCTGGCTGCAGACTATCATGGTACCCCCAGACATACAGAAACAAAATTCACTATCATGGGAGTGAAGTTTTCTTCCTTTTTACCTTTAACCCTGTGTTGCATTTACCTATGAATGCAGCTTTTAAAAATCTCTTTTTTCTCTCTCTCTCTCTCTCTTTTTTTTTTTTTCAAGTTAGGGTTTCTTTGTTTAGCCACGGCTGTCCTGGAGGTCACTCTGTAGATGAGGCTGGCATTGAACTCACAGAGATCCGCCTACCTCTGCCTCGAAATGCTGGGATTAAAAATATGCCCCAGCACCACCCAACAAAAATCTCTTTATTATGTGCTTTAAGCAATAATGATTCTGCATTTGGAATTTTGAAGGAGTTCGTTGCCTAACTGCTTCAGAAGACCCAGTAACTTAATCTCCCATCAGTCAAAGCAAGACATATCTCCAAGGCCAGATATCTCATGGAAGAGGCTGTACCAGGACAAGTATGCAGGGTTTATCGGTTTCCTGGGACCATGGTTGTAACCGTCTACTGGATCCTTGTTTTGTCTTTGTCCCCCACTCAGCCTCTCCAGTGACTCCACAAGTCAGTAAATGATTGGCACTAAAGTACTAAGTATTGTGTAGGTGACAATGGTATTTGGTAGTCCATTTCTAGAAACTGCCTGGCTGGGTCAGCTGAAAACCGTAAGGAACACGGGCTGTAAAAGCACACCTCATTCGTACCTGGAGTCTGCATCTCCGCCTCGTGTTCTTCCGCTTCTCCAGAAAATCATTTCTGATGTTCCTTGGCTCTTGCACACTAAGTCTAATCTATGGACAACTCTCTCTCTCTCTCTCTCTCTCTCTCTCTCTCTCTCTCTCTCTCTCTCT